ATAAAGATCGCGTTCTGTTTAATAATAAATAATGAAATATGAAACTGCAGGAGAGCTTTAAAAATATCTCCGCACGCGAGTCTCCTTCATATAATCATTATTTTTATTTTATAGAGTCAATATTTATAGACATTTATAAAATAAGATATCCTCGAGGTATCTAAAGAAAGAGCTATGAATATCAAATTTATAATGAGATAAAACGATGAGATTATAAAAACTATAGATAACCCAAAAAAAAAATATATATATAAAATATAAAGGGAAAGTAAAAATAACAGAATAGAGATGCATTTCGGATATCTTTAGTACTATCCATATATATAATATTATTATTAATTATTATTCTAAACTACTATTATTATTATACTAAACTATGTTGCTATTAATTATCGTCCTATTATTATTTCTTTTATTTACTCCTCAAATAATTCTATATATAAAATTAACAAGTTGAAGTCAACAAAGATATATTTTTATTAGGATTTCTTAAAATCAATTTTTAAGAGCTTTTAAAATATGACATGATTTATTATTTTTTTTGCACAATCTTTTTCTAAGATCATCTCGTTACAATTGTATTTACACGGCTTTTATAAGATTCTTTGTTAAGATTTTTATTAAATTTTACTGAATTATTGTTTGCTATCTGGTTTGTTTGATTTGTTTGGTTAAGATCAACCGAGAGGTTTGGAGAAAGTCCGTCTCACCCCTTCGAATCCGGCGTGGCACACGCTCGCGCCTCTACCTGGGAGCACCCTGTATAAGCGCGGGCGCTTCTTATATCTTGATAGACGAGTGCATTGATTGCACGGGGGAAAGCGCGCGCGCGGGGAGACGCGTTGAGCATCGACCAACCAACCTAAATCTGCCTGACTGCGCCCGAGCACGCGAACCCTTCAGCCTGTCTGAACGGACACCCTTCCATTCCGCGCGTTCTGCTCCGCGTATTATCTAAACAACCCCCCGGATATATGACCCCGCCCAAGTGAATTCGCTCTGTCGTCATCGCGCGAGTCAGCTCGTGCGAAGCAGCCGCCCAAGGGTGGTTGGTTTTCCGCGCGCCCGATCCGAGGAAACTCGATTTTCCGTCCACCCACGTCGAGAGAGGCCGCAGCCCGAATGATCTTACACGGAACCGAATTTCCGTCGATGTCGCTCCTCTCGTTTCCCCTCTCTCTCTCTTCCTCTGCTTCTTTTCTCTCTTTCAATTCCGCTCTTTTAATCACGTGTGCCCTACAAGAGGCCCAAACGGCAGAGATTCGTGGGCGAGTCCGTTGGAAAAGCGAAACTTTCGCCCACGAGAACGCTCTCATGGCGATTATCCCGGCGGTGCAGGCTGGAGCGATAACGCGGCTCAATGGCGTCTCTCATTGTGCAAAGTGATTATATTAGAAATTGGATAGGCCGATTATAATGGGCAAACTCTCTCTCCCACGCGCGGGCTCGAGGTAAAAGTGCTCGCCTCGACGAGCTCTCGGTCGATCGCACTCTCGTTGCGTTTCGAATTTTTACTACGAGCCGACACTTGGAATTACGTGTAATTGGCCGAATTAATAGCTGTACGTTTGCGCAATTGTGACATTCTGTTAACCAGCGGCTGTTAACTAGTTGGCAGAGTAAAGATAGGGGTTGAAAAAGGAAATAAAATCTGATTTTACGTGCAACTCTCTTGATTTGTATAATCAGGAATCGATAATTATATATCAACTGTTAAATTAATAGTCATTGCATTTACAGAATTGTAACATTTTGTATAATTATTAGAATATTGAAGTGGAATTATATAACAGTGACAGAGTGCGACAAAAAAAGGAATCGCGTCGCTAAGTGAAACCTCATAAATCTCGTTCTTCAAGCCTCGATTTTATCGAGAATTGATGTTTAAAATTATATAAACTGCCAAATTAATATTCGTTATATTCGCATAATTGTGATATTTCATATAATTATATCGGGATATTGTGAGAGTGTGTGTGACAGCGCGTCAAAAAAAGAATTACGTCACTTGTGAAGCGCAAACCATTGGATTTCCCTCTTTTTAGACGTAAATTTTATCGCCAATCGATATTCACAATTACGTATAATGTGTCGAATTGACGCTCGTACATTTGTAAAATCGTGACGTCCCGCGTTAATTGTCGGGATTTAAAAATTGACTTACGGCTTTGATTGACAGCGTGTCAGAAAGAGAATTTCGTCGTTCGTGAAAGCGCAACCCAATAAATCTTTCTTTCTCCCTTTAACTCCCGACTTTATCTCAGGTCAGGTTAGACACTGAGAGAAGAAGTTTTGCCAATTTAACCAGATACCAGCACGCGCAACAAATGGTTTGTTGACATGGGACAGCGAATGACCCCGTAGTGGAAACAAATGATTTGTTACTTTGCTACTTCAAGCAACACTTTTGTGTAATGAAGACACAACTAACCCAATCTAGATAAACGAGAACAGAGGTGATTTGCAGACAATGTATGTTTGTCAAAATAAAAAATGCGATAAGAAACTTTTATGTAACTTGAATAGATTTTTGCGAATCTATGTATAAAAACGGTCAACAGGAAATAAATACTTCGACAGATGTCTTTCATATTTTAGTCTAACGTATTCCGACATAACGAAATATTTTAATATAAACAAAAACAAAATATTTTGTGAGGTTATTTACTGTTTGTTTGCAACCGTAACTGTTCGATCTAACGAACGTCAAACAAATCTTTGCTAAGAGAGGGACTTTTCTTAATGCACCTATAATTTTATATGATCTGTCGAATTAATACTCGCACATCCGCACAATTGTAACATCCCGCGTTATTCGTCAGGAAATGAAGTTACGTCTCGAATTCATCTCGAAAATGAAGTTACGAGGAACAGGAGGCGCATTGAAAAAGGGATTGCGTCGCTCGCGAAGCGCGAGCTGATCGATCATCCTTTCCCACCTAATCCTCGACACCGATGCGTCACGCGGCGGCTAAATTCGCGATTAATGATCGCATACGACCTTGATTTTAATTTCGAGCGATAATCACCCGATCCATGTCATCGCGACGGCCCGAATTAGGAAACGATGATCTCTCTCGCGCGATCTTCATTTCAATCTCGGGCGATAACCGGCCAATTCCGCTTCAATCAGATTTCCAAATGGTCACGGCGACCGCGGCTGTGACCTTAATTGTAATGAAGGCCCGCCAAGGCAATGCGTGTGCAATTGAATTTGCGTCGTTAACGTGGCGGCCACGCGCGCTCTCCCATGCAATGGTGTAATATTGAACATTACGCCGCGAAACGTTCTCGCGAAGCACGACGAATTATTATATTGATTGTTATAATTATTGTTACATATGGAGCTGCAGCCAGCAAATTCGGTTCACTTTGTAGCAGTAATTATGTAAATATGCTACTAGTCTCTCTCTCTCTCTCTCTCTCTCTCTCTCTCTCTCTCTCTCTCTCTCTCTCTCTCTCTCT